CGCGGCCGCTCTTGCACCCGACCGGCTGGGTCCGCGGCGGCGGCTGTGGCAGCGGCAAACTCCAGCCCTCGTTCCAAGAGCGTTCCCTGCGCATGCGCAGGGGACGCTCTTTTTTACTTTTGTCAAATTAAGGCCCTCCCGATAATTTTTACACACTTTAAGATTATTGTGCACACGTGGGGACCGCCCCACGTGTGCACAAACCTCTCCCTGCCCCCCAGATGGCCCCGGAGCGCAGATTTAGATATCCGCACTCACGGGGCCACTTCGCTATTAGATATATAGATGGTGGAATTGATCATTAGGGACCTTTCACTTGCCTGTTTACCTCAGGATTTACAGAGTTTGTTATATTTGAGTCCAGTAGCACCTTAAAGATCAACAAGGTATGTTTTCAAGAGTCAAAGCTCAATTCCTCAGAGAGCTATGACTCTCAGAAGGTTATACCTAGAAATCTTGTTGGTCTTTAAGCCACTATTTGACCTGAATCTACCTCTTCTACGGGAGACCAACATGGCTACCTATCTGAAACTGAATTTGTTATGGAACTGTGTTCACCAGCGACAGTAATCCTGCTCATAGTATCACTGTCATATATCCAGCTCATATTATCGTTGTCACACATCCTGGAGTAAAGAGAGGAGACACCAGATTTTGCTAGTGATTACTAAGTCCTTCACTCATTTCAATCTTTGGTTCACTTTTTGAATATATCTAACAGGCTGAAGTAAATTCAGGCTTTGTTATACTAGCTGCTGATTGCATACACAAGTATGCCTCCATTTCATGTCATTTCAAGCACCAATTACTGTTGTATTTGTATGATGTTTTAAGTGTTAATGCTATTTAATATTTTAATGCTTTTACTGTTTTATTGTATGTCTCAGCGACATACCATGTAAGCCGCCCTGAGCCTACGGGGAGGGCGGGATAAAAATATAAATAATAAATAAATAAATTTCATGTCGTCGATGGTTGCCAGCATATTGGAAAACTTATGCTAGAATGAAAACTTGTTTATCTTCAAGTTGCTACCAGACTCCTGTTTATTTTTGTTATAACGGACATGGGCAAATCTAAGTGGAGTTACGCCCTTCTACATTCACTGAAGTGAATGGGCTTCAAAGGGTGAAGCTCTGGCTTCTCCTCTGAGAGGAGAGTCTTTAAGGTCCCCTCACCCTCCATTTTGCTTTTGACTGGGGAAGGTAGATTTTGAGGAAGGGGGGGGGAAGCACACTAAGGATGTGATAGGTTGCCAGCCTCAAGGTGCAGCCTGGAGATTTCACGGAATTCCAATTTATCAGCAATCAGGAGAAAATGGCAGCTTTGGAAGTTGGACTCTATGGCACGATACTGTGCTGAAGTCCTTCCCCTCCCCCAACTCCATCCTACTTATGATTCACTCCCAAAATGTCCAGGAGTTGGCGACCTTATAGTCTGCCCTCTGAAGCGGCCATTTTTGTCAAGGAACTTGATCTCTGTAGTCTGGAGATCCAGTTATCCTCCTGGGAGGACTCCAGGCCCCACTGAAGGATGGTAACCCCATTTAAGATGCTGAGAAGGGCTATGCAACAGGGCCTAAGCATGAGGAAGTGTGGGGGGAGGAATGGGCTCATTTTACTGGATTCTAGGGGTGTAGCAGAATGGTCAGGAAGCCCATTATCATGATATAGTCTATTTATATTGTTTCACAAATAAAAGAAAATGTTCCTTCATGACTCATGGGATAGGATCATCTTGCTCAAGAACTGTGCGGGAAGGGGGGGGCATTTTACAAATATGTACTGGACCCAGAGAGATGGTGTACGGTCCTGCCCTGGAATGTGCTTCATCCTAGTGTATGATTTGGAGCCCAGCTCACTACTCTGAATTTATCCCAAAACCATTCCAAAGGCTTAGCCTAGACTTTGAACTGAACATCCATCAAAAAAGTTTACTTTAGCTACATTCATGTTAGCCAGATCTTGGGGAAACAGTACAAAACTAACTATTTCCGACTGGATAAGTAAAGTGTGTGAATTTTGCATGTTAGACAAACTCACCAAATCTGTCTTGTCAAAGAACACCGTTCCTTTTACATCAAAATTTGTACCAACGTGGCTCCTGTTTCTGGACTATTTGTCAACCAAAGAAGACTATACCTCAACTTTAGATACTCTGTATAACTTTTACTGAACAGTTGTTTATTAAGACTTGTCAACTGTAATCGTTCGCTGTTTTAAGTTCCAAACAACACTATAATGCTGTAATATTTAAGTTCCAGACAATACTGTTCCAAACAATACTGTAATTATTCTGACACTGTTATTAATTATGGGAACATCTATATAAGTATGCATTTGTCTGTGATCAAAATAAAGCAATTTTTTAAAGTTTACTTTAGACTGGGGCCCAAGGGGTACATTGAAACCCCGCATTGCCACCACATCGAATATTCTGCTCTTGCTAAGAAGGCAGATTGCAACTCCACTTGGGGTTTTCTCTTTTTTATATCCAACTTGTTATTCTTAGCTGGCAAACAGAATTTTTTAAAATAAATATTGTCTGAAAACTTAAACCTGCCTATACAGTTTCCAGCCAAGCAGTGGGTGGATTTCATAATTCAGTACTAAATATTTGGAAAGCCCTCTCATCCACCTTTCCTTCTCTCTCCCCACCATTAGTCACCGGATTTGGAGGGTGACACAATTGTTAAGCCAAAGATGGAGAAGTAGTGAAATTTCCAGTTTGTCAAAATAATCTCATACTGAAGCCAGAAAAAAAAGAAGGGATTGAAAGGACAAATGATAGTTATAGAAGAGGGGGGGGGGGGGGGGGGGGGGGGCGTATAGAATAAACTCTGACTTGTAATGCAACTTTTGACTGAACAAGCACAAAACCCTGGCATTATCTCTGACTTTTCTTTTCTTTCTCTGTTCAGTCTCCTAACAAGTCAAATCACTGTTTACAACATGTCCCTTTAACAAATTTCTGGGAGGTGCTGTGGCTTAGTGGGAGATCATCTGCTTGGTATTCAGAAGGTCTCAGGTTCAATCCTCAGTGTCTCCAGTTAAAGGGGTCAGATAGTAGGTAACATGAAAGACTTATACTTATGAGTCTGCTGCCAGTCAGAGTAGACAATACTCCCGATGGACCAATGGTCTGATGGACCAATGGAATCAGCTGCCTAGGGAGGTGGTGAGCTCCCCCTCACTGGCAGTCTGTAAGCAGTGGCTGGAGAAACACTTGTCAGGGATGCTCTAGGCTAATCCTGCATTGAGCAGGGGGTTGGACTAGATGGCCGGAAGGACAACTTCCAACTCTGTGATTCTATGATTCTATGAAAGCAGCTGTGTTTTTTTCTCCCTTCCCCACTTTTTTTTTTTTGCATTTGCAGACCAGTGGAGTTGCTGATGGCTCCATTCTGAAACCTGCATAAGCCATGTGAGATTTTTAACCATAGAGCCAACGCTGGCTCCATCTGTGATCCGCAAATGCAAACACAGTAGGGGAGGGGGGTGCTGTCAAGGCTGACCCACCTTGGTCGGACAGATACATTCAGGGGTCTTTTGGGGCCGGAGTGTGCCGGAGCGTGCCGGAGCGCCACTCCAGCAGCCCAGGAGCCTGCGCTAATGGTGGCAGTGGCAAGCCCCACCCCAGCTCCCCGCGTTTTGGCTCAGGGGAGGCCAGAGAACCCTGCCTCCACGTCCCCCGAAGAACCCCACCTCCGCGTCCCCCGGGCCCGCGCAAGAGCGTTGCAGCTCGGGGAGGTCGAAGAGCCCCTCTCCCGCATTCCCCGGGCCCACGCAGAAGCACTGCAGCTTGGGGGAGGCTGGGAGAGCCCCGCCGCCACGTCCCCCAGGCCCGCGCAGGAGCACTGTGGCTCGGGGGAGGCCAGAGAGCCCCGCCCCTGCATCCCCCAGGCCCGCACAGGAGTGCTACAGCTTGGGGGAGGCCAGAGAGCCCCGTTGAGGCATGTTGTGGGCCCACGCAGGAGCGCTGCAGCTCGGGGGATGCCAGGAGAGCCCCGTCGCAGCGTCACTTGGGCCCGCGCAGGAGCACTGTGGCTTGGGGGATGCTGGGAGAGCCCTTTGCTGCATCTCCTGGGCCTGCATGAGAGCACTGTGGCTCAGGGGACGCCTGGAGAGCCCCGCCGCCGGCTTCCCCGACCCCCGCCAAAGCGGTAAGTAAGGGATCTGCAGGGGTGGGGGTGGCAGGGGCTTGATGGGGGGTGGTGGGAGAGCCTCCCTCCCTCCATCCATCCATCCATCCATCCATCTCTTTGCCATCTTTCCCTCCTTTCTTTTTCTTTCTCTCCTTTTCTTTCTCTATTTCCCTTCTCTTCCTTCCTCTCTTTTCCTCCTTTCCTTCTCTCCTTTCCTTCTTTCCCTCCTTCTTTCCTTCTCTCTTTCTTTCTTTCCTGCCTTCTTCTCTTCTCTTTTTTCCTCCTTTCCCTGTTTCCCTCCTTCTTCCCTTCTCTCTCTTTCTTTCCCTCCTTCTTTCCTTCTGTTTCTTTTCCTCTTTCCTTCCTTCTTTCTTTCTCTCTACTCTCTCTCTTTCCTTCCGTCTTTCCTCCTGTGGCCCAACTCTAGTGAGAAGGGGTTTAAAGTTTAAACCCCTTCTCTTTCACTCCCCCCCCCAGCTGGGGGAGGGGAGGCTTTTGAACAGGCCTCCCCCCCTTTTGCTTCCCCTTCTGACATCACTTCCAGGGGGCATGGCATATGCTTATAGCCCAGTAGCTCATTAGCATACCATATGCTAATGAGCTCCTGCAGCTCTTTTTCTACGAAAAGACCCCTGGATACATTCCCCTGTCTTTGACCTGAGACCCTGGAACAAGCCCTTCTGTGATAACATACTAGGGCTGCCAAATGCAGCCGGGGAGCGGGGAATCCCCCGTTTCGGAGCCCCAATTCCCAGCGCGCCGAAATCGGGGCCCGGGGGAATCCCCACCCCCGCGTGCGCATCACCCGGAAGTGACGTCGCACGCTGGGGGCGGAGCCACGCCATTTGAGGGGAAACGGCGTGGCCCCGCCCAGTGTGTGACGTCACTTCTGGCATCACGCGCACCCCCCAGCAGCTCCAGGAACGGCCGGACGATCCCCCGCCGGTAAGACCTTCGGATTTGGCAACCCTATAACATACCCAAGTTTACCCTGGATTTGGCCCAGCAACTCACGGCAACACTCTTTAAAGTAAAATCGCATTTGATTAAGGAAGTTAAAGAAAAAGATTTTAAAAGCAATATAGTTCCAGTGGCAGTTCCAAGCTCTTTAAATACACTTACAAGTCTTAGCAGCACAGGTCTTAACTTCTCATAGTCCCCAGCAAGCACCATAGTTCCAAATAAGGCAAAGCAGGTAACATGAATACGAGCAGGGGGGTGGAACAGGGGTAAGGAAGGATGTAGTCCAGGGCTTTTTTTTTTTTAAGAGGTGCCAGAACTCCCAAGAGGGAAATGACGTTTTCAATCTGTATATTGAAAGCTTATGAACTTTTAAACATTTTAAAAATAATTTTGTCAAGGTTCCAGAACTTTGTTCTGGCACATTCCCCGAGAAAAAAAATACCTGATGTGGCCTAACAGCATAGAAATGGGGCCATAGACCTCCTGACCCTCTCCAACCAATAATTGGGCTGTCTCTGAGGGAGATTCTGAATGGGTGCCAGCTCTCTCCTCTTGAGTGAGATAATTAGCAAGGTTTGAGAAGTGACCTTGGTTAGCAGCCACCCATGGGGGGTGAGGTGGGCTGAAGGGTGACACATGTTGTTAATGAGCCAGTGGAAGGGGGGATGTTCAATGGAACTTTCCTCTGAAGGTCTAGAAATCCAATAAAAAAATAAAAATGAATAAGATGGCTGCTGTCTTGACAGAGATCACAGTTGCTTTCTCCCTGCCTGTTTTGGTCGCCAGCAGAAAAGAGCCCATATGTGATTGGGGGAGGCCCAAAATGCCCACTGAATGTCTCATGCATAGTCCTTGTGTCCTTGCCAAATGTGTAAATAAGTCCTCAGGAGACAAGGACCCTAAACAAACCTGTGTGCTCTGCAATGCATAAAGAGCCAATAAATTACTCTATCCTTCCTAATAATTCCCATCATAGCATTTGCCTTTTTTTATTGCAGTAACACAATAATTAATTATCATTGCCATCATTGTCGTCGTCGTCATCATCATCATCATCATTCCTGGATAAACGTGCACTGCATTTCAGGCTTAGCTGGGTCTCATGTGGTTTTACTTCTGCTGGGAGTCTTAGTGGGTCAGGGAGCATGGGTTGGGACTTCAGTGCCCTGACTTGAAGAAGCAGAACGAATTACAGACAGAATATTCCAAGCTTTTCTTTAGCGCAGAAGAATCCAGGCAGCCCTGTCGATGGCATAAAACTGAGGCCAAGGATCAAAATCCCTTTTTAAAAAACAAAACTAGTGAGTCATTGTTGATATGCCATGATGTGTGAAGGTATTTCTCTAGTGCAGAATGCTGGAATACATTCAGCAGCTTTATAAAAAGGTCTTCCTAGGTGTGGTTTCATGAGGAAGAGCCCACCACTTCCTTCTCTTCAGTGCCTCTGACCCACATCCTCTTTCTGTGTAGACTAACTTCAAGTATTCATAATCAAATGGCCCAGACTCTTTCTCCTTCCTGCTTCCTGCTTCTGCACAGAATCAGGGTCATGGCAGACAATAGCATGAATATTGTTATATTACCGAAATTCTTGCTTGATTCCAAATTGTGACCCGTGAGTGACCTCACAGCTGGGTGGGGGACTTACTGTATTTTACTATTATGTTGTATAATTAGATCCTGGTTAATCAGAAGGAAATGTGAATACGAACAATCATAGTAGAAACTGAGTGAAAAATGATGGAAGTGCTAAAAATGTCGTATATGGTTTTAGGGCCAATTATTTTTTTGCTGCGGTAATTATGCACGGGGCATTGACAGCATCAGCATATCTTTTGGGGAATTAGATGACTTCTAAACCACTTTCCATCTATTCATAATTTATGACTAACCCTGTCCTCATTTTCTATTAATTGGTTACCTGGTGAGGAGAGCTGATAAAGGCCAGGGCAAGGATCCAAGCCACAATGTTTCAGTCTTTCTTTAGAGCTGGCCCAAACATTACTATAGCCAGCTAATGAATATTGCCACTGAACAAGAAAAAACAGATCCAAACAATTTTAGTATTTCTGGGCCAGCCAGCAGATTTGTGTGTATGTATGTATACAAGGGTTAATTGCCAGAATTTTTGCAGGGAAAATCAGCACCATCTCTGTCATTCAAAATCTATCATACTTTTATCCTGCCATCCCTCCAGGGAACTCACAGTGGAGTTCATGGTTGTGTCCTCATCTAGTTTATACTCACAACAATCCTGTGAGGATGGTCAGGCTAAGGGAAATGCAAGACATCCAGCTTGAAGGCTGGGTATAGATTAGATCCTGACTTGGCCCAGTGGTGGTCTAAGGTAACAACCTCTATTCCACACAGAATTGATGTGCTTTAACTTTATAACCCATAAGAACTCTGGGGTCAGTCCCATTCACCAGTTTATCAGCTATGGTTAAGTTGCCAACCTCCAGGTGGTGGCTGGAGATCTCCTGGGATTACAACTGATTTCCAGGTCACAGAGATCAGCTCACATGGAGAAAATGGCTGCTTTGGAAGGTGGGCTCTGTGGCATTAAACCCCTCTGAAGTCCCTCCCCTCCACAAACCCTGCCGTTCTCAGGCTGTACCCCAAAATCTCCAGGTATTTTCCAACATGGATCTGGCATCCTTAGCTGTTGTACGAAAGGTTTCAGGAGAAGGGCCACGGTTTAGTGTAACTGTAGAAACTGGCTGGTTTAGCCTAGTAGAGACAAAGTCATTTAGAGTTAGCAGCTGAGGCGGAATTTAGGTGGGAGACTAGACCATTTTTGAGGATCAGCTGTAATTGGCTTAGGTCTCTATAGGTTACTTCTTTTTCCCATAAAGCTTTGTAGTGTAGCTGCTCTCAAGCAAGCACTGTCTGACAATGCACTCTGTCCTACTAGAATTGTTTTCATTTTTGAGTTTCAGCCTCAAAACCAAAACAAATGAGGTATCAGTATGTGGCTCCAGAATCCTGGCTTGACATGGGGAGGGTGTCATGAGCTGACTCTGATCAGAGTTCATCTGGTCAGCAAGGGGAAGGATTTGAGTTTCGTCAGACCATTCCATTTTTCAATGGACAGCGACTCTGGGGTTTTCTTCTATACTATGTTAGTGCCATTGTTCAGGGCCTGTTGCCAACACCTCCCTTGTGGGTTTTGACAAGAGTCCGGAATACATACTCCTAAATAGACATAAATGCACTCTTTTAAAAATAAATATGGGATTCTTTTCCCTCTGTATGATAAATACTGAAATTGCTACTTGCTTGAAAATTTTTGCATTATGGTTTTATCTGTCAATAAATAGTAAATACTCTCTCTCTCTCTCTCTCTCTCTCTCTCTCTCTCTCTCTGGAGTTATAGGGTCTCTGCCAGTTTCGATCCTTTATTGACCCAGGTGGGGATAAAAGTCCTACACTCTTAATTCCCCCAACAGCAGGAGATGGAAAGTCAGCTTGTATTAGGGTTGCCAGCTCCTGGTTGGGAAATACTTGGAGATGTTGGGGGTGGAGCCTGAGAAGGGTGGGGTTTGGAGGAAGGAGGGACTTCAGTGGGGTGTAATCCTCTGGAGTCCACCTTCAAAGGGGCCATTTTCTCCAGGTGAACTGACCTCTGTCGTTTGTAATAGTAGGAGATCTCCAGCCACCATCTGGAGGTTGGCAACCCTAGCTGGGGAACGGGATAAGTCATTTTGTGCTCTTATTACAACCTTTGCCTGTGTCTGTTCTACGGGGCTAAATTATGGATAAATCTTGCAAAACAAATACATCTGAATAATTCTTTAACTCAAAACCCTCCACCATATAGAACAATAGAACAAAGGTTTTGTATAACCAGTTACATAACCGCAAATAGAACATGCAAGTGAAAGTCTATTTCAGTTTTAATTAAATAAACAGATTTGCATTTGCAAAGCTTGGGTTCCTCCAGTTCATTCCTCTTCCAGAAGAAGTTCTGTTCCAATGAACTGGAGAACACAGCAACCAGACGACAATCCACAGTTTGGAAGCCATATAGCCCTGCAAAAACAATACAGTTACAA